CGGCGGGGGCGCGGGCGGCCTCTGGGCGGACGGCGACAGCGACGGCGGCTGGGAGGCCGAGCGGGGCCTGGCGCCTGGGAGGAGCCGCGAGGAGGATGAAGATGAGCTAGAGTCGGAGGAGGAGGAGGAGCAGCTCCGTGAGGGAGAAGAGGAGGAAGACAGTGAGGAAGATGAGGAGGAGCTGGAGGATGAAGAGGCCGAAACGGGAACAGCGGCTCTGGCAAAGGCTGACACAACAGGGCCCCGGAAAGATGGGTGCACGCGAAACCACAAGGCATCCTTGGCAGACAGTGGCACCTGGGAACCCAATCCCGCCGGGAGCCCTATGGAGCAGACGGTAGGTGGGAGGTTGTCAGCACAGAACGCGCTGCTCGTCGGGGCCTCTTCCCTGCCCCAGATCTCTCCTGAAAGGGACCGGTGGTTACGATGGCCGAAGCGCACCTTGCTCCATGTTGTGGGGCTGAAACGCTGTTAGGTGAAGGGGCCAGGGACCAATAGTGGGTGTATTAAGGGAAGGGGGATCATTCTTGGAAGCAAGAGGCTGGATCAGCTTTGAAGCGATGGAAGTGCAGGCTTTCCTCGCCAACTGCTGGGGTTGGGTTCCTGATGGTTCCCGTGGTTGGCAAGACAAAAGGTTTGTGGGAAAAATGGCAGGTGGCGGGCTGATGCGCAGCCATGGAAAACCATGGTTACTCAGAACTGTAAACCGTGGTTGCCAGAATGGTATATGGAATATTCAGCATGGATACATAAACCTGTGGCTGGCGAGGGAAACCTGTAATATGGAAATGGACAAACAGGTAAAGGGAATGAAGGGGGAAAGGAGCGTTATCCTGCATCTGACAGCGTAGGAACTGGACTTGTCTACTGCCGGCAACCTTGTGCTCTGGGTTCTGGCAGCAGACAGCAGTCGTCCAGGTCAAGTGCACTGTGGGAAGGAACTAGCTGAATGTGCTTCAGCAGCCAGAAGATGCAAGAGAGCTCCTCATCTGCCCGATAGCAACAGCCTGCCCTGCTCTACCAAGGTGGTTTAGTTCTGCTGGAGGAAAAGCTCATTCTGCTGCCACAGAGGAGATTTAAAGGTGAACTCAGTCTACCCTTTGCCAACAGAAGTGGAGCATAACAAAGACTGGAGTGTAACTTGACTGTGATCGCATCAGGAATGCGTAGCAGAGCCATGAAGTCACTTTCAGATTGAAGCGTTACCTCCATTCCAAGCATATCTGACTGAAACACGATGTTGCAGTCATTGTTTCAGGAAGCCAATAGAACTACAGTAGGAAGGGATGAGGAAGATCAACCAGATGGTGTAATCTTCTTCCTACAAAAAGATACAGCTGACACTAAATTGATGGGCAAGGTTCTTTGGGTAGATGTGATACCTTTTATTAGACCAATTAAGTAGTTGGGGAAAAAGTTCTTAGCAAGCTTTTGAGGTGCAATCACCCTTCTTGTTGCCTGAACTTTTTTCCAACTACTCAGTTGGTCTAATAAAAGGTATCGCATCTGCTTAAAGAACCTTGTCTGCCTGTGTCCTTAGACCAACAATGCTACAACTGAAAACCCAGCACTAAAGTAATAACACATTGGAGACCAAGCACTTTGGAAGACTGCAGCATTTCCAGTGACTAATGGGAGAAACGAACCTGGATTGGGATCTTGGTTTTAGCTAAGTAGAAAACTGTTTTCGTTTAAGAGGATTGATTTCTTTTTTTGCCATTGAGTTGGCAATAAGCAAAGAATTTTCTCCATGTTTCTCAAGTTGGCTCCTTTAGCGTGAAGTTGTGCTATGTGTCTAGTGCTACAGTTAAATACGTGCCGATTAGAGATAAATGTGAAGTATATCTAACAATTTGTCAGAAGTAGTGAAAAGTCACATTTATTCCAAAGTACTTACATTTTTCTAATACATCGCCCTAATTTTTTCTTGGGACAGAACCTTTGCCCTAGTCCAACCAAATACGTCCCCCCTCAAGCGAGAGGAGCTGGAGAGAGAATGGATGACAAAAAAAGGGAAGAACTATTAAGACTGAAGAAAACAGTGAATGGTTTAGTGAACAGGTAATGAAATGTGTCAAGTCGAATGTGTCAGCATTGATAAGCTATCTGGCCTTTTGCTACAGCATCCATCACTCAAACCAAAGAGATGTAAATAGGACTTTCTTCTCGCAAACTGATCCTTTTTTTGACAGTTTTGAAGCCTACCATCCTGGAAACGATTTCTTGTTTGTCTGTTGTTTTGCAGAACATCTAGTACAGAAGTTGATACGTTTCAACTTTCATTATACGCGATTGTAAAACTTTGGACTCGCTTCTCCAAACCTTTACTGCTACGTGTAGGGCATGCATCCAGGGACATCAGTGAGGCTGTGCAGAGTTAAAAAAAAAAAAAAAAAAAAAAAAATT